CTGTTTTCCATGCCCAATTCAGAGTGGCGTAAACAGATAGGTGGCCAACCCTTGACTTGGCAGAGGAGTATGAAGGAGATCACGAGACGCTTGGGTGCTGTCGGTGCTACTCGCCTTCCAGGATGGGGACCGCGTGATCCTCACTGTGCCTGGTTGGAGACACTACAAGATATGGCTGCCAACCGATGTCAGTGGCGTTCTTGTCGTCAGTTTCTATCCAGATTGCCCGAGTGAATGTCTGGGGGTGTAGGCACCTCGGAATAATTGTGTTGAGCTAGCACTTAGTCCCTTCCTATCCACCTTTATTCTTTTCTCTACAATAAGGCTTTCAAACAAGTCATGGTTGTACGGCAGTGAAGCATCGGTGTTGAACACTGATTGCTGGCTGTCGATGATGATGATGTGAACGTGACAGTTGATGATAGCACGCGTTTCCCCGTTCCGGCTTGCTGATGCTTTTGGCTGATAACTCAAATGTCATGCTGTCGATGATGATGATGTGAACGTGACAGTTGATGATAGCACGCGTTTCCCCGTTCCGGCTTGCTGATGCTTTTGGCTGATTGATAACTCAAAAGGCAAGTTTCTTTCGCCTTTTGTGCCACTAAAAGTGATGCCATATTTCTTCGCGATGACCGAGATTACCATTCACACTTCTTTCAAGCTCAGCGAACAGGCAGTTGATGGAGATTCATCAACACAGAATGTGAATTACGGACCCTATCGGTTTCACTTGGGCGCTCCTAAGGAATTCGAATCATTCCAGTCGGTTGAGTACTTCACATGTTTGGGGAGTCGCATATTGTCGATTCGATCATGCAGCGAGCGAACAATAAGATACGGGGACTATGACAATATTCCAACCCCAGCTATGTTGCTTGATCCAGACTCCTAGCACGGCGGATAGTAAGAAGATGAGAAACCTCGGACACAAACTTTGATGATCCAACAACAGGCGATGACGGGAAAAATGATAATGCATATATATATATATATATATATATATATATATATATTCGTTGTTTGACTCTGAAAGATCAGGGGC